CAACTTTCGAAGGTCCTGGATGCCTCCCTTGAGATTCCCGCCGCTGCAGGCGGGCGCTCGCAGGCAGGCGCTGTCGAAACGTCAAGAGTGCCACGGGAGAGGAGGAGAGCGCTGTGGAAACGTCAAGAGTGCGATGGGAGAGGAGGTTGACAACTCAAGAAAAGCGTGAGTGCCACGACGGATTCTCGCCATTTATCATCGGACAAACCATTTCGAGACCTGAAAAATGGGGGCATCGAAAACGACAAAGCCCTCCACCGCCAGGACAGAGCGCCGGACAAAACGAGCACATGTGCCAGGACAGCGCGCCGGACACAACGAGCACATGTGGCTGGGCCGACAACTGCAAAAAGAATCTCCCGCCCTTTTCCTTTCTTTTTCTGTTTTTTTTTGTTTTTTTTTTCAAGCTATATTCTTCTCTCAATTTGACCTCGCACTACCTACCTACGACTGCTCCAACCATCCTTCCCCGAACATAACGCAAATGCGTTGTATTCGAGTTTTAAAATTGACAAAAAATGGATAGAAGGCGAATGCATTCTATTCAAAATTTAGGGCTATTTGAATAGAACGCATACCAGTTGTATTCGAATAGAACGGACCCTAGGCATTGTATTAGTTTACCATGCGTATGCTTTATGTTCCAGGAAAGATGGTAAGACCTCCACTGTTTCTTTTTTCTTTTTTTTTTGAGCGCGCTCAAATGTTGCATAGCTGTTCCTGAGGGCATACTCAGGGCATACTCACATGGGGACCTATAATCCCAAAATCCCAAAAGAAAGGGGAAAAGGCCTGTCACACGGATCTACCAAATTCGCAAATGTACTATTCCAGTGCCCATTAGTCAGCGGCCTGGAAAGCCACGGGGCAAGGGATTTTGCGGTCACCTCTGGAGGTGACCGCAAATTCCCTTTTTTTTTTTTTTTGTCTTCAAAAATTGGCAAAAATTCGTTCACAAAAGTTCGTGCACAATTGCTGGATGCCGCCCTGTGACCAGCCAAGTACCAAATCCCCATTTCTCCAGAGGGCTGCCACTTTGTCCCATCTGAAAAGTTACAGCAGTGTGACGTGAACCATGCCCAAATCTCAAATAGGCCCTTCCCAAATCTAGTGGTTTGGTGGAACTTTTGACATCAAAGAGATGTTCTCCAACCTACCTCATCCCTCAATCTTGGCTTCTGTCCGATGGATCTTGGATTATTGGATCAGTGAAGGTTTTTCTGCAGTATTGGTTCGTATGCATGACAGAATTGCCAAGTTGACGAAGCTGGTTGGGTTCGGATACATTTTTCGCAGATTTTTGAGTTCGTCCGGTACAATCTGGACAACACCTTCGTCTTGGTTTCTGGGAAACTGTCTTGGCAGATTGTGGGCATCCCTATGGGGAGCACGACGAGCCCTGCATTGGCTTGTCTACTCTGTGCCTTTAACGAATACACTTTTATGTCGTCGTTGAAGAAGCAACGGTCATTGGTGCACAGCTGCAGAATTGTAGATGACATTTCTTTCTTTGTCAAATTTCGTTTGTCGGATCATCCCTCTCGGACAATGGCTGACCGGATTCATCGATGTCGTTTGCCGGCCCACCACCCCCTGCCACGGTTCATCCACCAATGGGACGGGAATTTTCTCAAGGGATGCAACCAGGTAGTTCGACTCCCGCACCAGAGTCTCACTAGACCCCTGTCGGAAATAGACCTAACAAACCTCATAGGGGTAATAACACTCTCACAATGAATGTTCAAAGCCATACAACGCCCGCTGCCCCGGGGTATCCAACTCTGTTAGGACAGGCTGAGCCAAGAGTGATACCTACCGTTGGAGGACGAGATGAAATTATCCCACCAACTTCAAGGCCCATGCGCGACACTAGGAGTAGGTCCGACATCGATGGGTAGAGGGCGAACCAAGTCTTCGTTCATTGAGGAAAAATCTTTGGGTCAGTCCTCTACGTCAGTAGTAGAGTCAGTACTCATACCTCCGCCTCCACTCCCCGGTAAAGGGTGAGGATCTTCAAGTTCAGGAACAGGAACAATTAGAAGAAAAGACACAACATCTTCATTTATTCTCACTTCGCATCGATCACCAGGTCTAGGCGTTGTGACTCATGATGGCTATGCTCTAGTTTCACCAACTAAGTATAGCAGACGAGATACCTCAGATCTTCCCTCCACTTCCGTTTCAATCCCGCCAAGCAGTATCAGAGTTTCTGACCTTGTCTCTTCATTTGAGATGAGCATTCAAGGTGAGGTCTTTCTAACATAAGGGATAGGTCAGCATAGTGATGTCGCACCTTCATTCCCTCATCAAGGCCAAAGACTGGCCCCCATGATTTCGGTAGCGAGCTATAAATGTCCCCCAGAGGCGGCAATGCGCGACCAATACCGCGACGACGTGGTGGCTACTCTGTCAGGGGGGGGAAGGGTTTGGGGGCTTATTGGGGTTGCGCAACCCCAAACCCACCCGCTCGAGGAAAAAGAAAGGAAAAAAAACGAATATCGGGAGGATGTGGGTTGAGGGTAAAAAGAAAAAAAAACTTGATTTGATTCATTGATTAATTAATTGGTGCTGCCCCCCCCCCAACCCCACACACACATACACGGCGCGACAACCAAAATGAGTGTGCCACTGTATCTTTCCATGTCGTAGCGGTAGATTCATTCGATTTTGCTCATCCTATCGATGAAAGTACCATGAGGCCAGCGGCGAGGTTAAAGACTTACTAGT